ATGACACAAATCGATTTTAACTTGTTTTCTCTTTTTAGCTGAATAACTCAAAAGGTTTTTCAGTGATTCCTACGACAAATGGTATCAAGGTGGCTAAACGTCTCCAGACCTTAAGTGGGACTCATATTGTAGTTAAATGAAGTTCTATTCCTCAGGCTCCGCACAACGCCGAATGCTCCTTCTGAAGACCTCATGATCAAATTCGCGTACGCTTCACCAACATGAAAATGGCCAGACTCTTTTCACTGCTCCAGCCCTTTTTTATTATGCCAAAACCACAGTCGACTGACCAATCAGTGTTCTTGGCTTCGTCTTCAATCACACAATCAAATGTCATCATTGAGTCTGACCAATTAGTACACGGATTATTATTAGTGGAACCGCTTTAAGCTGTATAGAATCAACGTTCAAGAATCATACGCTTCCGGAATAACTAAGAGGAGATTCATGCCATTTTCAAAGGAAGAAAACGTCGATGGTACATGTCGCGTATTCAGGTAACGAAGTTATTATTTACCTTTACACGAGATACAAGCCACTCTGACTCGTTTAATTCTACGTAACTGTTCACCACACATATACACGATCGCTTGGTAAAGATGTTGTAGCGAAAGAGATGGATAGCGCAGAGTTAGACCAAAGGACGAAGACATGGACAGCATTTTGGTAATGGTCGAAAAATAACCCACCAGAAAAGCTCCAGAACCGAGTGTCAGAATATACGGTGCCCGAACGCGTCAAGGAATAATACCAGCACGGGCAATGAATGGCTGACTCCGTATCCCGAGGAAGAGCTTGGTCCTCCAAGAGTCCTCATCCCGTTGATGGCCGTGGTACAAAAGAACAAGGGAAAGGTGCGCCCTGTACTAGATTATAGAAAACGGCGACTTACCTGGTCATCTCTTTCACTACAGATGTTAACAAAAATGATCAACTTATTGTACGTGTTTTTAGCCATTTAGCCGTTAGAGAATATAAGAACAATTATGAGAGAGAGAGAGAGAGAGAGAGAGAGAGAGAGAGAATAAGAGAACAAGAATAAGGAAAACAGAACAAAACGATGGAATCAGGAAGGTCGTTACGATAATTTGGAGCAACGTAGGCCAAAGAATAGAGCCCCGGGGAACACCTGCATTAATGCAAAAAGATTTAGATGAGTGGCCATTCAAGACAACTTTCATTTCGCGATTTGAATAGAAAGAATGAATCAGTTCAAAATTTCGTCTAGAAATACCATAACATTACAACTTGTGAAAAAGACCAGTATGCCAAACCCTGTCAACTGCCTTCGAGATAGCCAAAGAAACAAGTTCACCGTTCGTATCTAGAGCCTGACTAACTCTTTCAGCTATAATCGTTAATACCTCAGAGACCTGCTCCAGAAAGTATTTGACTCCTTTTAACATTCTTATAAAAGAGCCAAATTAGGCCCCAAACAGGAAATTGCCCTATCCTTCTCAACCTTCATTGTAAACTTAAGGGATGGATGGAGAGAATTAAGTTGAGCCAGAAAATTTGTAGCATCTGTGGCTGAATCAAAGATAGAAAAAGTGTTATCCACATATCTCCTACAGACACAAGGTTTTGGACATTGTCAAACAGGAATCGCTATTAATAGCCCACGAAAATAAAGGGCTATCCATAGCAACACCATCTGTCTGGATATACATCATATCATTGAAGCTAAACTCCACACCCTCTGTAGCCAGATGCATACATTCCAAGAATAGTTCCTCAGGAATACTGGCAGGGCCCAAATTACCCCGATATGGGATATCGGCACAAATGCCAATAGTCTAATGTTGTGGGACGTTAAACCTGTGTTTCCGTCCTTTAAAGTCATTTGCGTGGCCTTGTGGTGGTGGCGTATTTCCCATTCTGCAGCACCTTTCTCATAAACACAACACCTGTAGCTATTCTGTTGCTATTTTTAGGCTTGAAGAGATTAATAGTCAAAGACGATAATGAAAGCAAGAGAAGCAGAGAGGAACAGCATGTAATCTATTTTAATAAGTACAAGAGTAGGCTGAAACGTTCATAGGCTGACTCTCAAGGAATGATGCTTGAGCTGTAAAATCTTGCATGAATTAATTTCAATTTTTCTTATTAATAACTGCATTATTTCTTTCCAGATACGATAGTAAGGCTGAAACGTTCATAGGCTGACTATGAAGGAATGATGTGAGCTGTAAAATCTTGCATGAATTAATTTCAATTTTTCTTATTAGTAACTGCATTATTTCTTTCCAGATACGACAGTAGGCTGAAACGTTCATAAGCTGACTATGAAGGAATGATGCTTGAGCTGTAAAATCTTGCATGAATTAATTTCAATTTTTCTTATTAATAACTGCATTATTTCTTTCCAGATACGATAGTAGGCTGAAACGTTCATAGGCTGACTATGAAGGAATGATGCTTGAGCTGTAAAATCTTGCATGAATTAATTTCAATTTTTCTTATTAGTAACTGCATTATTTCTTTCCAGATACGACAGTAGGCTGAAACGTTCATAAGCTGACTATGAAGGAATGATGCTTGAGCTGTAAAATCTTGCATGAATTAATTTCAATTTTTCTTATTAATAACTGCATTATTTCTTTCCAGATACGAGAGTAGGCTGAAACGTTCATAGGCTGACTATGAAGGAATGATGCTTGAGCTGTAAAATCTTGCATGAATTAATTTCAATTTTTCTTATTAATAACTGCATTATTTCTTTCTAGATACGAGAGTAGGCTGAAGAATTCGTAAGCTCACTTTGAAGGTATGATGCTAGAGCTGTGAAATCCTGCATGCATTACTTACAAATCTTCTTAGGAATAACTGTATTATTATTTTCGGGTAAACTGACATTTGACTCTTCAAATAAATCGGTTCATCTTGCTGGTCAAAAATGTGATTAACATGACTTAGAGAATTTAACACCCACAAGACATATTGATAGCAAGAGGGAAAGAAACTGATTGGAATCTACTTAGGCTTGAGTAAAATGATGATAGAACAAGGTATAGGTGGAATATTAAAGGAAGAAATATTACGTAGAACTACAAATGATAGGAAGTTGTGGAGAGCCATAATTTCCAAAGTCACAGGACAAAATAAGAATTTACCATACGACACCATATACAGATGACATCCAAGTAATAGATATCTCTTTGTGAAGCCAATACGAGAGAGGTCAAGGACGATAATGATCTGTCTATATTTCTGAGATGAGGTTTTATGTACACTATTTACATTATTCGGACTATTGTTCTCATCTTTGTTGCCATGTTTATCACAACGTTTCGGCCGTTGATGACACATGGTACAATGGATAAAGGCGTTAGTTAGCTCCAGTTACACAATCCAAAGAGTTGTGAATTCAATACCTGGTTAACGCGGTGGAGAACCTGGAAGGGGAATTAACAGGAGATAAATGATAACTGACATCCATTAGACATGGCACATGGAACTAGAACAGTCTACCCCAGTGAGCTAAATAAAGGGTTCAGTTCGACATTCCAACCACCTGAAGAAGGCCGGAGCGTACAATGGCCGAAACGTTGTGATAAATATGGCAACAAAGATGAGGACAGTAGTCCGAATAATGTAAATAGTGACGATAATGATGAACAACTATTTTAATAGTATAGAAAACCAAAGACAGGTAGCTGGGGAGAGTCATGATTAATCTCCTTCTTAAAGGACATAGCACAAAAATAGTTTCGATGCAAACATATTTTTTGAATTGAACTAATCAAGCTTTTGGCGTGAGAGTATTTTCATAGTTTGACACAAGGGCTTGGATTTATTGCAGGCTTTTCTGTTCCTAAGTAGTTAACTATGTGAATATCGATCAGGTTCATTGTTGCTTAATCTCGGTGACCCGGAGAGAACTGGTCCTTTCAACGTGATTTGACTCTAAGCCAGTATTTTCTGCAGAGACAAAGCAGTTCTGTGCAAGCCAAGGTTTAAATATCTACAAACGGATTTATATTATCCACTTGTGGATTAACCCCTTTACAGTGTGTCAGGAAATCAATTTTTAGGCAAAATATTGTTTTTATCTCCAGATCATTTGTGCCGAAATTCTCTTTTACAAAAACTACATCATTCATAGTTTTGAAATTTACATTTTTTTTTTAAATTTTTCATCATTTTCTTTATTTTTTCTAAAAAAAAGATTTTCTTTTTCTTTTTACCCAACTTCTTTGTCTTTCTCGATTTACGTTTTTAGTAATATGCTAATCTTACTTCTTTTCTTTCTTTCTTCACCTGTCTTTTCCTTTATGAAATATTTTTCTTCTCTTTTTTTTTATATTTCTTTCTGACCCTTTTTTCATCTTATTTTCCTTTTTGAAATAATTTTCTTTTTATATTTTTTTATTTTTCATTTTTTAATTTCTTTCTTTTCTTTCTTGATTTTCCTTTTAGTAAGACGCCTTTCTTTCTTTTCCCTTTTTTTAATCTTCTGTCTTTACCTTCTTATCTTGCTTATAATGTTTCTTTATTTTCTTTCATCTTCGTTTTCCTTTTTTTTAAATATTTTTCTTTCTAATATAATTTATAAAATTTCTTTTCCATTTTATCCTCTTCTGTCTTTTTATTTCTTCCTTCTCTTTTTATAATATTTCTTTCTTTCTTTCTTTCTTTCTTTCTTTCTTTTCCTTTTTCATCTTCTGTCTTTTTCTTTCTTCCTTCTCCTTTTTATAATATTTCTATTTTCTTTCTTTCTTTTCCCTTTTTCATCTTTTTTCGTTCTTTCTTTCTTTCTTTCTTTCTTTCTCATCTTCTGCCTTTTTCTTTCTTTCTTCTCCTTTTTATATTTTTCTTTCTTTCTTTCTTTCTTTTTCATCTTATGTCATTTCCTTTCTTTCTTCTCCTTACAATATTTCTTTCTTTCTTTCTTTCTTTCTTTCTTTCTTTCTTTCTCATCTTCTGCCTTTTTCTTTCTTTCTTCTCCTTTTTATAATATTTTTCTTTCTTTCATTCTTTCTTTCTTTCTTTTTCATCTTATGTCATTCCCTTTCTTTCTTCTCCTTACAATATTTCTTTCTTTCTTTCTTTCTTTCTTTCTTTCTTTCTTTCTTTCTTTCTTTCTTTCTTTCTTTCTTTCTTTCTCATCTTCTGCCTTTTTCTTTCTTTCTTCTCCTTTTTATAATATTTTTCTTTCTTTCATTCTTTCTTTCTTTCTTTTTCATCTTATGTCATTTCCTTTCTTTCTTCTCCTTACAATATTTCTTTCTTTCTTTCTTTCTTTCTTTCTTTCTTTCTTTCTTTCTCATCTTCTGCCTTTTTCTTTCTTTCTTCTCCTTTTTTATAATATTTTTCTTTCTTTTTCATTCTTTCTTTCTTTCTTTTTTCATCTTATGTCATTTCCTTTCTTTCTTCTCCTTACAATATTTCTTTCTTTCTTTCTTTCTTTCTTTCTTTCTTTCTTTCTTTCTTTCTTTCTTTCTCATCTTCTGCCTTTTTCTTTCTTTCTTCTCCTTTTTATAATATTTTTCTTTCTTTCATTCTTTCTTTCTTTCTTTTTCATCTTATGTCATTTCCTTTCTTTCTTCTCCTTACAATATTTCTTTCTTTCTTTCTTTCTTTCTTTCTTTCTTTCTTTCTTTCTTTCTTTCTTTCTTTCTTTCTCATCTTCTACCTTTTTCTTTCTTTCTTCTCCTTTTATAATATTTTTTTTTCTTTCATTCTTTCTTTCTTTCTTTTTCATCTTATGTCATTTCCTTTCTTTCTTCTCCTTACAATATTTCTTTCTTTCTTTCTTTCTTTCTTTCTTTCTTTCTTTCTTTCTTTCTTTCTTTCTTTCTTTCTCATCTTCTGCCTTTTTCTTTCTTTCTTCTCCTTTTTATAATATTTTTCTTTCTTTCTTTCTTTCTTTCTTTCTTTCTTTCTTTCTTTCTTTCTTTCTTTTTCATCTTATGTCATTTCCTTTCTTTCTTCTCCTTACAATATTTCTTTCTTTCTTTCTTTCTTTCTTTCTTTCTTTCTTTCTTTCTTTCTTTCTTTCTTTCTCATCTTCTGCCTTTTTCTTTCTGTCTTCTCCTTTTTATAATATTTTTCTTTCTTTCATTTTTCTTTCTTTCTTTCTTTCTTTTTCATCTTATGTCATTCCCTTTCTTTCTTTTCCTTACAATATTTCTTTCTTTCTTTCTTTCTTTCTATCTTTCTTTCTTTCTCCTTATTTTATCTTCTATCTCTTCTTTTTGAAATACATTTCTTTCTTTCTTTTCCTTTTTATATTTCTTTCTTTCTTTTTCTCTTTATCGTTTTCTTTCTATTCTTTTTTGAAATACTTCTTTTCTTTCCTTTCGTTTTTGTTTTTTGCCATATTTCTATCTTTCTTTCCTTCTTTTTTCTTTGTATCCTACACCTTTCCTTTTCATTATTCTTTCTTCCCTTTTTCTTCATTCCATCCCTTTTTTCCTGCTTATCTACATCATTCTCTTTCAGTATGCATTTTTTCTCTTTCTTTCTTCATTTCTTCCCGAACACTCATATACTGCTGCTGCTGCTCTTGCTGCTGTTGTTGTTGTCATTTTTCCTTACCTTTTCCCCTTCCCACCACACTCCACTCCCTCTTTTACTATTGTGTATTCGATTTCCCATACCCCCCCCCTCACGAATGTATCTTTATCTTATCTTTCCTAACCTCTGCTCTCACTCTTTCTCTCTCTCGCTTATCCCGTTTATTTTCCGCTCAATTCCGCTTTGTTTTGCCGCCAACTCAAGCTGTATCATTTGTTGCATAACTCATCACCGCTCCTGCGCCTGCGCCACGACTTCTCTCTGATTTACTGACGTGCTTACCGTACTTGCCACTCTCGATCGGAAAGCCATTCACGTGTTCAATGGCAGCTCAATGACCTGCACAGAGCGCGCCATTTAACGGTGATCATGTGACGTGCAGCTGAAACGGAGCCAAAAAAATGCCATTACCAGTTAGAAGCCTGTTCAGCCGGAGTTTTTTTGGCTTTTTCTTTATCCATCTACGTCAGTCAACATTACCATATTTAAATCAATCTATCTATCTATCTATCTATCTATCTATCTATCTATCTATCTATCTATCTATCTACGTGGGCATATGAATTTTATTGTTTTGTTATATATATATATATATATATATATATATTGAGAAAGAGTGAGATATCTTTTTCCTTTCTTTCTTTCTTTCTTTCTTTCTTCTTTCTTTTTTTTCTTTCTTTCTCGCTGTAAATGTCATATTCTAGGTACCCTCTCGCTCTTTCTATTGTCCTCACTCGCTCTGCGAATCCTTGCTGGTGAGTTTTAAAACACACAACACACACACACACACACACACACACACACACACACACACACACACACACACACACACTCTCTCTCTCTCTCTCTCTCTCTCTCTCTCTCTCTTACATTTCTATATATTATTTACATTGTTCAGACTGTTGTCCTCATCTTTATTAATAATCTTTATTATAAATTATATATATATATATATATATACAGTGTAACCGGGATATAAGAGAGTTGTCGGGACCGGAGAAGAAGTCTCTTATATCCGGGTTTCGTCTATTTTGTTTACATTAACACAGGCTCTAATTTGGGACCAGAAAAAATCTCTCTTATATCCGGGTTTTTCTTATATCCGGGTCTCTTATATCCGGGTTACACTGTATATATATATATATATATATATATATATATATATATATATGTAGCCAGGTATTGAAGTCTCATAAATCTTCCGGTAAATATATATATATATATATATATATATATATATATATGTTGTGTACATATATATGTATGTATAAAATAATATAAAAAAATGAAAGTTATTGATATCTATGAAACATTCTCGGGAATTGAACCTATGATCACTCGGTTAAAGGCAGCCTCTTCTCAGGACATTGGCGATCCAGACTCCCCCAAACTTTCTATTCTGTGTAGCATTTAACCCATATACTGAGAAAACCATGAACCGAACACATGAGCAACGACGGCGTTCTAGAGTAGCAAAAAGGGCTCACTTATACTTAACATCTGACAGAGACAGTTGAGGATTCTAGGACAAATAATGAGGAAGGGGCGCTTGGAAAATTGGATACTCACAGGACAGATCGAAGGCAAAAGAGACAGAGGAAATCAACGCACAACCTACCTGGTGAGCTTGAGTGAATGGATTGTGGCTCAGGGGTATGGGAGAGATGGCAAAAAGACAAAAGTTATTAAAAGCTATAAGGGACTGGAAGTTGTGAAGAGCCATGATCGCAAACTTTCTGAAAAGATAGGTCACAAAGAAGAAGAAGAAGAAGAAGAAGAAGATGAAGGGGGTTCCTGTCCCCGTCCCGCCACCCAATCGCACAAACTTTTATCTCTCTTGCCCTGAATATGCCCTGTGAGGGTTACGTTATCAAAGCCCTTCTTTCTCATTAAATGTCCAAGGAATTCCAGCCCTCTCTTTCTGGTTCTCTGAATAAGCGTTCTTTTTGTTGTCATTCTCGTTAAGACATCCCCGTTGCTTATTGACTCCGTCTATGGAATTCTCAGTATCCTTCTGTAGTACCACATTTCTTTTGCCTCCGGTTTTCTCCTCTGTGGGAAGATCGTCCAGCATTCACTGCCTTATAAGAGGATGGATATCACATAGCAATCCAACACTCTTTCTATTGTTTCTAACGAATTTTTTCTGTTTGTCAGCACTTTATCTTTTTGAATGCACTGCATGCTAGTCAATGTCGTGTTCGGATCTAGGTGTCGCATTTACCATCCGTCTTTTTAAACGCTTGCCAGATATTTAAACTTCTGAACTTGTTTGCCGTTGTCATCTCCAATTTGAAAGACGCATTTTGGACATTTCCTCTTGCTGATGACCGTACTTTCTCTCTTCTAGTTAGTCCTTTTATCTCGCTTTCTTTTACTATCCTTTCTAGGAGGTCCTGTAGTTTTATTCCCGTGTCAGCCATCAACTCAGTGTCATACGCACATCTTATATTGTTAAGATTACGCTCGCCGACAATAACTCCTTGTAGGAAATCCAACTCCTGAGGATAGCCTCACTGTAGAGCTTAACGTATTTTGGATGTTAGACTCCTTTTTTTTGCTAATAAAGGGTCAAGATTTACTTAGTGTAAAAGACAGAATGTTGTGAAAAGCTATTATCCACTAGACACTGAAATAAAATAGGAAACGAATTAAATATATATATATCTTTTATGTCATTCGCAGACTACTGTTTCAGAGCTCTACTGTGCAACTAGACATCCGGATACTTCAAGCCAGGACTGAAACCCGACCAGTTTGGTGACAGGCAGAGTTTCTACCTCTATGCTATCATCACTCAGCAGAGAGAAGCAGCTAATTCTAGCGTATTGTTTTTACAAATGTAAACAAACGCCAATCAGTCAGAGGGCTCCAATTTATATATATATCTTTTATAAATTTGTGTAAACGTAAATTCAGTTTGCGTGTCTTGAGCTTACACCTGAAGAACAAAACAGCCATCATCGTCAATACGACACGTTCTTTTGAAATGGGCGTAAATATTTTTTTTATAAAAACATTTAAATTGCTAGATAATTCTATAATTTTAGACCTAGTTTACTACTTTCAGTAATGTTTGTAGTAACCATTGTTGTCATCTGACATTTCACATTACTATAAAATATTTGAGCGGAATCGAAAAAAATATGGAATTAACTAAATTACGTCAAAAGTAATCTGTTTAATTAGAACTTTTTAAAAACTGTACCGAGTTATTTAAAATAATGAATAAATACTAAGTTTGCTGAATTAATTATTATTAATAATAACACAAACGCGATAAAGTGATTCAAATGGCATGATTAACTCTATGAAGTTATGTCTAGAGGAGGAGATTTAAGTGAACTATTTCTTTTTAACCGAGATCATCCCAAGCAAAGTAGTAAAGCCACTAAGGCACAAGGGGCGAGGAAGAATTAGAAACGTAAACATTATTAAGGAGCGGGAAAAAGAGAAGATTAATCAGGAGAATAGTAGATAGCGACTGACATTGCAGTTAAATTTTTGAAGATTAAAGTTGGCGAGAAGTGCAAGAAAAGAAACTGCTAGTATAGAATTGACGGTTGCATATAGACAGTTCATCTGTAAATTGATGAGATCTTGACGCCAGTGAAGTACTGCGCTTAAATTAAAAATGTGTAGGTACCACAACTGAACAATTACCCCTGAAAATATTTATAAAAAAAAAGGCGAGGTAACCTTATGGCAGTGGGAAATTGACTAAAGCCGAGATACCAGATCAGGACCAGTAATATTGCTGATTCTGGATAAATAGAATAAAGTACTTTGGAAAATAGATGTCTTACTTAAAATATTGTTTGTAAAGTCATGTTAAAAAGGAAAATGACAGCACAGTTGCAGTATTAACCGCAGGTTGGGTCTGTGGGCGTTGAAGAAAGAGAAATGGACCTGAACAGATAGGCATGCGTGGAAACAGGCAGCCACATTGAAGATGAGGAGTACCTTCTGGTCGAAACGGCTTTGATAAGTCAACGTTTAATTTCTTCTGTTCGTATGATGGGTTAGTATATAAAGAAATAACATGCGCTCCTCGAGGTGGTGTAATGGTTAGCAAGCTTTTCTCGCTAGAACAATTACAGCTGAGTAGTGAGTTCAATCCTCACTGGATGTCCCTGACTTTTGGTCTTGTGCCATATCCAAGCTACGCTTGGAAAATCACTGGGTGCCCTATACTTTCGGCCTTGTGCCATATCTTAGCTACTCTTGGAAAATCACTAGAAAGAAATAACATTGGGTAGGTCACGGTGTACCGAATAAATCCGTGTTTTTATCTGAATTAATATTTCGCCTATTTTTCTATGATGATATAAACCGTTTTTCTTTCCTTTTCCTCTGTATATCTCCTAAGTGTAGTTATTAATGTAAATGTTCTGACAGAGAACCGGCGAGAAACGACGTAATTACTTAGCTTCTTGTGTAACCTTTTCCATAGCCTCTCTGTAAGACAAAGTGTTCTTAAGTTCTCTGAAACAAAACTTAAACAAAATCATGTCAAATGAATTAATTCAAAATGTCAGGGAAATGCACACGAAGAAACAGCGAAGCCACTGTTAGGAAAGCAACTGTATTAAGACGCCATTAAAAATTCTATTTGGTTTATACGACTTGTTAACCCACTGACACCATTACTCTAACCGAATCGGGAGGATTATTATTTCGATGCGAGAAGGAGAGGCAAGCAAAGAGGAAAAGGAAAAGAGATTGAAGTAAATAAATAAGTCCATAACAAGATTAAAATTATTAATGGAAAGGTAGGCTTAAAAAATGTCGCTTGTCCCAGAGCAATTGTTAGAGAAGACCATTGCAAGCATCAAGATTGAAGCTCATTATTTGATTCGCTAATCTGACCCTGCATGAAGAAGAAAAGAAGAGCATGAAGAAAAGTAGGAAGAAGAAGAAGAGTATGAAGAAGAAGAAGAAAAGTATGAAAAGAAGAAGAGTATGAAGAAAAAGATGAAGAAAAGTATGAAGAAGAAGAAAAGTATGTAGAAGAAGAGTATGAAGAAGAAAAAGAAGAGTATGAAGAAGAAAAAGAAGAGTATGAAGAAAAAAAGAAGATCAAGAAGAAAAGTATGAAGAAGAAGAAGAAGAATATGAAGAAGAAGAGTATGAAGAAAAGTATGAAGAAGAAGAAGAAAAGTATGAAGAAGAAGAAAAGTATGAAGTAGAAGAAGAAGAGTATGAAGAAGAAGAAGAAGAAGAGGAAGAAGAAGAAGAAGAAGAAGAAGAAGAAGAAGAAGAAGAAGAAGAAGAAGAAGAAGAAGAAGAAAAGTATAAGGGAAGTCAATGAGAAACTAAAAAAGAAGAAAACAACTATTCGAGAAAAAGAGAGAGAGAGGATTTGGAAAGAGAAGCGGAGGGAAAAATAGGAAAAAGAAAGAAAACAGCGCAATATGTACTTACTGGGAATAATAGCTTCACATAGAAAAGCAGTTAAATATTTTCAAAAATGGGATCGTTTCTGTTAATTGACTCCAAAATATTAATTCACATCAAAATAAAAAGAAATTATATTTACTAAAATTTACACCAAATTCTCCTGGAGCGGAGCCCTTCCATTGAATTCCGGTTTGGTTGACCTTTGCGATCGATCCAAACGTGGGCCACTCAGTTGCGCTATTTCTAAGTGTGGGGTCATCATACGCGCTCACCTAGGTAAAGAAGCCAAAAACAGATTTTTTTTTTTAAATTGTAAAAATTCTTTGTAAGTACCTCGAATACCATCCGTACGAAATGTGAACAACTCTCTGATTTTTGGTAATTTTTTATTTTGACGGTTGGAGTTGTTGCGAGGCAAGCTAAACACATTTTGATTTAAAATTTATAATTTCAAAAGAGTACCAATAATTTAATAATAATAATAATAATAATAATAATAATAAAAAATAAACACACTTTGATTTGATAGTTATAATTTCTTGGGATGAATTAATATTTGCGATAAGTAACTACCTTATTTCGGGATGAATTAACAAAAAAGATCCCAAGAACGTAACTTTTATTATTAGAAACTAGATGACGTACTTTTTTTTTTCAGTGTTAGAATTGAATACTTTCATTACAATTCGTTATAACAACAATAACACTATTCCTTATTTATTGCAACAGTCATCTGTTAAGACTTCGTCAGTGTTAAATCTTGGAAACCTGCTGCTAATTATCAGGCATATCTTCGATAACTTTTGAGTAAGATTCTACAGGTTTTGATCTGAATAACTTTCCACGAACTCTTGAGTCTGGTTTTCATTAGAGAAAGTTTTCCTCATCAAATCATTTTGCAGCGATCTAAAGAAAAGTATTAATCAGTTGGTTCAAGGCCAAGTGCATAAGACGGTTTGGGTAGAACAGACCAACCGAGTTCCAAATCTTTTTCCTGTGTTATCCTTTTTGCATGAGGCCTTGCATTTTCACGGAAGAGAATACCATTACTTTTAATCGTTTCACCCCAAGGAAGGCGATAAGGCTAGAACGCATGGAGTTGCGGAGAGGGAAAGAAAATGAGAAGACTTTAGTGGGGAGGTTTGAGGAAAGGACAAAAAAGGAACAGGGTTCAAGAAGACAGATGATGATTGACATCGCATTTAAATTTTTGAAGATCGTTTTCCATTTAATTCACTGTGTATGCTGCCACTGCTGTGCTAAGCTATCTTAGTTTACTCTAGGTTTATTTTTTACTGCCATGTATGGCTAGTAATTAGGATGGTCCATTAGTCATTAAAATTGATTGCTCTGAATGGAAATTTTCTTTTGACGCAACCGAATAACTTCTAATATCATGGTAAAATAAATGAAATGAATAATTAACTGTTTTACAATATTTGTAGTCGTTTAGTAATTTATTATGTTGCTATTATTCCCCCGATGGGGAGTCTTTCCGCTTACAGTGACCGCGTAAAACAACCTTCGTTATCTGTCATGCGTGGATGTGGGATAATGTAATGGATAGCGGCTCTGAATGAGTAATCGGAGAGACGAGTCTGAATTCCAAATCGGGTATGAATTTAACCCTTTTCCTCAGCTATGGGTTAAATAAACTTGTATCTGGATAAATTGTTATTCTAAAAAAAGTCATTAATGCAATATTCACCTGCAAAACATATTTTTACAATCCAAAATATTTTTCAGGTTTAAATCAAACACAGTGGCTTGATAAACCGTAAATAAATAAATAAATAAATATGACCCTTCCGCTCTTTCGTAGCTCTTAGCTAGGTTTGTCTTTTAATTATTTCTTTCTTTTTTTGACATCCATTTACAAAACTCAAAATGTCCGTCCATGTTATTCTCAGCAGTCTTCTGTAGAACCACATCTCTGATGCTTCAACTCTACCGCTTCACCTGCGATGAAATTGTCCGGAATTCACTGTCATATAGAAGGATTGATATGACGTAGAATTTGTTATATTCCGTACCTATGAATACTAATGGGTATATCCTAATCCTCATAAATACGTTGCACACTATTGTATGTAGGGGTGTGTGTGGTGGGTAATATACTGTATAAGCAGTCCACCACTAGCAGTGGTTTACCTAGTTCACGCCGCTGGCGAGTATTGTATTTTGCTGACGTTATAAACATTACCATTTTATTTCCAACCTCCGTTCTGGTTATTCCTCGTTCAATAAACTTTTCTAGTTACAACGTAATTTTCTTGTTTCTTATTACTTTGCTTAGTTTTTTGAAGGCATCCTCATCTGTTTTAATATACCTCCGGATGTTGTTGACACATTTTGCATCCTCACTTATCACACCAAACTTCTGTATTTATTTGATTCCAACACTTTCAATTCGTTCTTCGCAGCTTGGACATGTCCTACTTCCGAAAACCATACATTCTGTCTTCTTAAAATCGATAGTTAGTCCTTTCTTCTCGCTTTTCTTTACAACTTTGTATAGGATATGCTTGTACAGATTTTCTTTCTATGTCTGCAATCAACACAGTGTCATCTGTATATCCTATATTATGAAAGTTGTATCCACTGATAATAAATCCTGATAGGATCTCCGACTCCTTTGGGATAGCATCGCTGAAAAACTTTGAATAAATCCGGTGAGAAGACATATTTGATTTGAAGAGGTTAAGATTTCAGTGTTTACTATATATTTTATATAGTAGCAATTCTTGGGAAAAACTGTTTAGGTAGAACTTTCTAATTGGAATTAGAATGCGGGGGAAACGTGTGTGATTCGTGTCCGTGGAAGTAGCATGGTGTGTTCTAGCTGTAAATGTTTGAACTGATGGAACTAAAGAATAGAGAGCTAAACTGAACATTGAAATAGCCATAGAGCAGCGAAAGGTTTGCAATGTTGCATCAACGGGAAAGAGGTTGCAGATTGGAGAATATGGCTTCCCATGTGTAAATGCCTTATTTGTAAAGGTCTGAACTGATGGAACTAAAGAATGAAACGCTTATCTGAACATTTGCCATTGAAATAGCAACAGTGAAAAGCTTGCATTGTTGCATGTATAGGAAAGAGGCTGCAGATTTGATTTGTGCGAATACCCCAGCGGTAAAGGTTTGAACTGGCTGCAGATTGGAGAATATGGCTTCCCTTACATGACTGTTTAAATGCGCTAGCGGTAAACGTTTTAACTGGTGGAACTAAAGAATGGGGACCTAATCTGAACATTTGTCATTGAAATGGCAAGAGAGTAGCGAATGATTTGCAATGTTGTATCTATAGGCTGCAAATTGGAGAATATGGCTTCCCTTATATGACTGTGTAAATGTTGTACCTGTAAAGGTCTGAATTGTCAAAACTAAAGAATGAATGACTGAAATGAATCGATTATAAAGTGAGAAAAAAAGAAAGAAAAGGAAACGGAGACAAAGATGAAAAAAGAAAAAAAAATTAAGAAAAGAGCGACAAAAATAAGTAAACATTATAAAGAGGAAGGAGAAAGAAGGAATAAAGAAATGGATGAAATAGGTGGAATTGAATGAAAATGAAAAAAAGAATGAAAAATAGAATGAAAGAGAACCAAAAGGAATGAATGAAAATTCACAAATAAGGAATAAAAGCAAACAATTAGAGAACGAGAATAAAACATACAGAAAAAGAACAGAAAAGAATGAAATTTGGAATAAGAAACAATGAAAAAAATATTTAAAAAACAATAAAAAATAGCAGAGTCATACCATACATACATATATCTGGAAGGCAAAGGTAACAGAAATATGATTCTAGAGAAGGATACTGAAAATGACATTGAATCTGGGAACAACGACAAAGTTTTGGAAAAAATGGAAGCAAAAAGGACACTTATACATATAATCAGAAAGCAACAGTTGAAATTTCTAGAGCACATAAAGAGGAAAGAAGGCTTGGAAAATTTGGTAATCACAGGACAGATTGAAGACAAGAAAAACACAGGAAAGCGGCGAGTAACCTACCCAATGAGTTTGTGTTAAAGTTTGACGGAACAGGAATTAGGAGAGATAGCAAGAACAAACTGATCGCCCACGTCCTGAAGGGCTACGATACATAGAAGACGAAGCTGTTCAATCTGAGAATCGTACTTGAACTTTAGTCACCTCACCATATCAGAATAAAAATTGAACCCCTCGTTTACTTCCCTATTCCTAATTCTTTCTTTCTTTCTTTCTTTCTTTCTTTCTTTCTTTCTTTCTTTCTTTCTTTCTTTCTTAGCGGAATCCGTTATGGGAGGGGAAAATATGTTAAGTATCAGCGGGTAACCGTGCTGCGGCATAAGTACCCGCCATTAATCAGATATTTTTCGCGCCTTTTTATAGAATCTGTCTGTTGCCTTAAATGGAAGGACTTTATTTGAGAACTGAGAACGCTAAAACGATTGCATCAGAAAATTTCGTTCTGTTCTTGTTGAGTCCGTCTAAGAGAATGCTTGAGACGATTGTTTACTGGAACTGAAAACCATTTTCGGATTTAGAAACTTTTTTTGTGTGTGTTTTGTTTTGTTTCTCAAATGCAGACTTGTGTCTTTTGGTTGACATTCGTCTTTCAGAATTCCGCCTTTTTGTGCAGACGCAATGGACAGCTTTGAAATATGGTCACTTTTAGTTGGGATTTAAATAATTCCGAAAAGATTCTAAGAGGGGAGGAGAATATAAAGATCGATTCGCGACAGTAAAGGCGAATGAGAGAGAGAGAGAGAGAGAGAGAGAGAGAGAGAGAGAGAGAGAGAGAGAGAGAGAGAGAGATAGACAGGTAAAGACAGGCAGAAAAGAAATAGGTATATTAGATAGATAGATCCGAACACAGACAGACAGAGGGATAAATATGGACATACTAATAAATAGACTGATGGATAGAAAGAATGAGATAGATAGATAGATAGATAGATAGATATGGATAGATAAATTTGAACTGATAAATAGATAGATAAGAGTAAGGTGAGATAGATAGATAGATAGATAGATAGATAGATAGATAGATAGATTTGCACATACAAAATCCAACAACAACAGTTGCATGCAGCTATCAATAACGTAATTATCGCTAAATAGAGAGAGAAAGGTTTATTGGATAGGGATCATTCTAAACTAGCAGATCTCGGATTAAATTTAACAGCTGGAGACAAATAGTGAGTGAGTGAGTGCGTGAGAGAGAGAGAGAGAGAGAGATGAAAGAAATATATAGAGAGAAAAAGAGGAGAGATAGATGGATGGAGATAAAGGGATAAGAGGGAGAGGAAAAAAGGCAGGGATGGGAGAGACAGAGAGAAAGAGATAAAAACGAGAACGAGAGAGAAACAGATGGACAGAGAGAGAGAGAGAGAGAGAGAGAGAGAGAGGGGGGAGATAGTGAGAATGAAAGAGAGATTAAAAATAAGTCAGTCAGTTATGTGCCATGCATGATACACGCTTAGGCGATCATGTATCTTTCGATACATGACTGACCAGGCAGATTCTTTTCCCGCAGTAGGTTGCCATTTCTTTCTGCGGTGAAAAATAAAATCTACGTAAAAAAAAGGTATTTCCGGAGTTCAGCGATCGAGCCAAATTGAACTTGAAGATTTTGATTTTTTAGTACTGCTCATTGGCGTAACATAGTCTTTCTTTTCCATTGTTATCCTATTTGGATATTATGTAATACTGAGCTCAATGAAGATAGAAAGAGAAGTTAAATATTACTTGAAAATTATGAACTTGTCCCAATGAACTTTGACCGAAGAAATTTAGACAAATATACCTCCCCACAGAAACCTCCCCCTCTAAAAAAAATTTTTGTCGCTTAATTAGGTGTACATTTTTGAAGACGCCTAAGAGAATTGACCTATTTTCTCAACGTGTTCAGATTACCGACAGAGCATTCACCAAAATCTTGAGGTTATTACCAAATGGTCAAGTCTTTTCATCCAATCTCAGTGTCTAGCATCTTTTAAAACCGGTTATTCCTGGGTAAGACGATAAACTACATCCAGCAGCTAGACCTTTGGTCGGGAGATTGGAGGTTTTGGGGAGCGTCGAACTACCGCTGCTTCTCCCAAGCCCACCCTGACCCGAGGTGGTAGCACCTGTTAGGGTCCCAGCTATCGGCAAATAGCGTACCCCAAATCAAAAACAAAACATTATGAAAGTATAAAAATGCATTTTGATAATAAAATTATCATATATATATATATATATATATATATATATATATATATATATACCAAAATGACCAACAATACATTTTATTTGTAGTTGAAGGCATGCAACTGCGTTCAAAATATTTAGATTTCGGCATAAACTAACCCATAGAAGTGTTGATATGCAAAATTAAAAATCAACCAGCCAATGTGTTGAAACTTGACTAATGCATGGAATAATAATACAACACAAAATGTACTCAGAACAAAATGTATTGAAACAAGAAAGTGTACACAATATTTACATATAGTCTTTTGTATATTCTTGGGAAGACCGTTCCTGGAGAATGTGTTGACTTAGTCGCAGTCGGGCAGAGTCTCTGGTTGAATCTCTTGATTCCTTCCCCCCATTTTCCCGGTATCAACCATATTTATATGGTCGGTACTCCACTATGCAAATTAGGTGGATCCTACCACAACACAATGTAAAACCGGTCAAAATATAATGACAATAATTTACTTTTTTTTTTTAGTGTTTCTATCAGTTCAATACGGATAGAAAATGAATTCAGTAGATATACAACAATAGAAAGGTGTGTAAGACAAGGATGGGTCTTCTCACCGGACTTATTCAGACTATACAGTGAGGCGATTCTGAGAGAATTAGATGTCCTAATGACACAGTGTTGATAGCAGACAGTGAAAGAACACTATAAAAGGAAAGCGAGAAGAAAGGACTAAACATAATCGGCAAGAAGACAGAATGCATGGTTGTTAGCAAAAGAGGGACCTCAAAATGCAAATTACAAATCAGAGATTCTAGAATCAAACAAGCACAAAAATTTCAGTATCTGTGATGTGTTCTAACAGAAGACGGAGAGTGTGACACTGAGATCCGAAGGCATATTGGGATGGCCAAAGCTGAGCAGAGTATTAAGAAACAGAAACAGTTCTGAACTATTACGTGATATCTATCCTCTTATACGTCAGTGAATACTGGAAAATCTCCTCAAATATGAGGAAGAAACTTGAGGCGACCGAAATATGGTTCTACGGAATGATGCTGAGGATACCATGGACCGAACAACGACGAAGATTTAGAGAAAATGGAAACTAAAAGGAAATTTATACTTAACATCAGTTGAAATTTCTGGTGCACATAATGTAGAAGGAGTGCTTGGAAAATTTGATGGCATAAAATAATCGATGAGTTTAAGTAAATGGATGGCAGAACAGGGGTTAGAAGAAATAAAACAACATTTATTAAGAACTAAAAAGGACAGGGGATAGTGGAGAGCCGTGATCGCCTACGACCTGACGTGGACTTCGAATGAACCCTGTTTATGAAAGAATTTATGTGTCTATTAAATTGGGAGTTACTTTTATTATATAGACTAGCAGTAGAGCCCGGCGTTGCCCGGGGATTAAACAGTAAGAGATAGATCAAGTATCCACCATCATAAAGACTGAAAAATAAAATTGACAAAGATTATTGTCTAAGGTTGACGGACACGCATGTCTTAATTAGTTTTTTTTTTTTTACGAATTGGTCAAACCCAAACTCAAACAAAAACATTGTTTTCAATCGTTATGAGTCTCTACCGATTGAATAGAATTTTATTATAAACAATTGTCTTGTAAATCGAATTTTTAAAGTATTCTGAATGTAAAAATAAAGAAAAAAGTGTGCAAGACATTAAGAAACACTACATGCCAAAAAAAAAAAGTGAAGTTTTGTTGAAATCAGTTGAAAAGTGTAGATAGCTTTTCTGTAATCTTTTAGTTTTACAATTTATGATTTTTACTTATTGAATACAGTAATAAAAATTGCATATTTTGCTTGTGGTGATTCATAATTAGAATTCTGATTTGAATATATTTTCCACTCGTTGTTTCTAATACAAAAAATATTAACTTTATTTGGGTTTATTAATTATGATCTAACAAACCTTATTAATTTAGTAGCCTTCTCTGTAATATATAATAATCTTTTACAATTTATGATTTTTACTTATTGAATACAGTAAAAAAATTGGACACCATGTGTATTTAAAGTAGTTTCCTGTTCCGGTTATTATTTTTAGTTAGAACTTGTGTATGTTTAGATTTCATTATCTTTCCCTAAAGATAAAGAATTTATTCCGATGTTTGTATTCGTACAATCAGTAGAGATTGTTAGATTATTGTTTAAGGTTGACGGACACGCATGTCTTAATTATTTTTTTTTTTTATTTTTTTTTTTTTACGAATTGGTCAAACCCAAACTCAAACAAAAACATTGTTTTCAATCGTTATGAGTCTCCCAATTGAATAGAATTTTATTATAAATAATTGTCTTGTAAATGGAATTTTTAAAGCATTCTGAATGTTAAAAATAAAGAAAAAAGTGTGCAAGAGAATAAGATACACTACCTGCCAAAGAAAAAAAAAAAGAAGTGAAGTTTTGTTTTATCGGCTGAAAAATATAGGAAATACGATCCCATATTTAAAGGAACCCACACACACACACACAAACAACCCTATGTGAGTTGTCCCCCTTCCATTTTCACGATGTCTCTTAATCGTGTTTTCAAATTGATTTTGTGCAAAAACAATTATATTTTTCCCATTTTTTGGCGCTGTTAGAACCACCACAAGGTAATTTTATGTAGTCCTGTGAAGTTTTGCTGAAATCGGTTGAAAAATGTAGGAAATCCGATCCAATATATAACACACACACACACACACACACACACACACACACACACACACACACACACACACAATCTGCGTTTTATAATACGTAAGATCAGTACAAAACAGATCCCCCACTTTCTGCCATGGTAGATTCTTTATAATTTCGTACTTATTTTCTAGAAAATATACATGTAGACAGGGTTACCAGAGTAGATTAGTTTTGAAAACCTAGTCTTAGCAAATATTGAGTTTACAGACTTGCAAGGATGTTTTCCCCAATCATTAAAATTTCACCTCTTCAAGTCTAGGGTTAACTGTTATCTTTCTTGCATAGCCTCATGAACTTCACTTCTTGCTACTTCCTACAGCCCTCTACCTTGAGTGTCCCTTGCGCCTTTTATTGAGTGAATATTAGTACTAAAAAGAATGGGGATAATTTTAAATAAAATAGGCGGACTTGGTCTACTAATCAAATGAGAGTGACTTCAAAATTTAGTAACAATGGGCTTTCAAATTGTCACCCAATTTGCTACTTGAAGTGCAATCTGGGAATCCTGATTATATGC